GGAAAAAAAAAAAAAAAAAAAAAAAACAAAAAAAAAAAACCCTTCTTTGTTTAGGGCTCGGGGTTTTTCTCAAACCCAGATTGGAACCACAGCTGTTAGAGAAGGCCTAAACATTCAGCAGACCCCGCCACAACAAAGCCACATCCTGTGTCAAGGGTGGAGAAGGACTCTAGCTCCCTAGATCATGAGCTCGGAGCAATCACTCAGGTCCTCAGCTAGAATTGCCTGCATTTGTCCCTGCAACTGGCACCCCGCACAATGCCTCTCTCCTCTGCAGGAGAAGCCCTGTCATTAGGGCAATAAAGGGGCCTGCAATTGTCTACTGAGACCTCCTCCAGCCGCTGGACCACCGGCACCGCATTAATCCCTCCTATGTGATGTAGCCCCACCGGGCTTACACCCTGGCTGGGCCGTGTAGGTTTCTGAGCAGCTACAGGAAGTTGAGCTACCTTGACGCTTAAGCCACAGAGAAACAGCCTGGCTCAGAATACGACTCATGCAAGCACTATTTTGTCTGAGGGTGATCAGAAACCTTGCTAGATGCTGCAGCCCCCCTTTCATACAGGCTTCCTAGCTCTCATGTGACACTGGAACCAAGACCCTTGCATCACAGATGCAGCAGGGAAGGGGAATGCAGGGAAAAAAAAGCTCTGACCTTCAGCCTTCCCACCAGCAGGCCAAACCCTATCAAAGAAAGGCAAGGGAAGAGCCAAGTCTGCCATAAACCTAGGGAGGGGAAAGCACGCCATGCAAAGCTCTTATATAACAAAGGGCAAGCCAGTGGAGCCATCTCTCCAGCCTGCACTCTGATCAGCAAGAGGGGGGCCCTCTGGAGTCGTAAAACCTGTCAAACTTTAACCATTTCAGCCATAAAACCCCTACGATCTAGGACAGACGCCCACACGCATGCACGCTGAGGGCCCAGGGATCACCGAGCGTGGGGTAACCATGCCAACAGTCTTTCGCAAGTGCCAGAAAGTTCCCCGTTGTCGTGTGAGATTATGCCAGCCAAGGTGGGCAGGCCTTTGGCATGCCAGCCAGCTTCCAGACTCGGATGGAGAAAGACTCTGCCTTGGCTCCGTGACCAGCGGCAAGCTAAATCTCCTCCCCACAAGGCTGAAGTCTTGGTGACTTCTCTTTCCAGTGCCAGCTTCCCACGGAGCTTGTAAGAGGAGCCGGCGTGTGAAAGCACCACTTGGAGACTGGCTGCATGCTGTGGACCAGGAAAGAGAGACCCCCACCACAACCGGTGCAGAGGTGACAGAGGTCACTTCTCAGTGGGACAGCTCTCTGCCCTCTTTCGTTTTGGACAGGAAATTAAGTCACTTCCTTGCTAGGAAGCCTTCTGTTCCCAGTCATCATCTCCTCACATTAAAGACATGGTCACACCAGCCACTTCAGCAAGACTGAGATCTCGGTATCGCCGCTTCTGGATTGTGTGGGAGGACATGCCACTTAAGACGCACCCCGTCTTAGCCCCCCAGGCACGGCACGTCACCACACCTGCTCCCCTCTTACCTGTCACGTGCGCCTCCGAGGGAGTGACTTTGCATTTCCTGAAGAACTCGTCTGTTAAGAGATCCACCACCAAGAGCTTGGTCTCTTCTCCACCAGCTTTGATTGCCGACACCACGTCAGCGTGCTGCTTCCCTTCCATGCACACGCCATTCACCTGGTGGGACAAAGTTAGAGCAAAGCCCATGAGAAGGAGAAATGCTGCGACAAGGCTGGCTGTGGGTTAACGCAGACGCCAGCACCGGTCACATGGCAACGATTATCCTCGTCAGCTGTTACCCAGCCAGGGCAGGAGCCTGCAGGCTACCACAGGATCCCAAGAACATTATGTATGTTGTGAGAAACTCCCTCCAGCATTAGGCACTTTCACTTTTGCCTCTGTAAGAGTCTTGATTGTCCAGAAGTCCCAGACAGCCCAGCCCCTAGGCATTAAAGTCACCTGTCCAGTCTGACAGGAGGACAGGATGTCTCATTGTCTCTGAAAATTCCCTCTTAGCTCCCAAAGACCTGCTTCACCCAAATCCTTAACTTGAGGAAGAGGAAATGCAGCCCTCAGAGCATGACCAATTATTGGCACATAGGATCATAGGAAAGTTGGGCTGGAAAGGAGTCCATGAGAGCATCTAGTCCAGCCCCCTGCTCAAGGAAGGATCAACCTGACTAAACCGTCTCAAACAAGTGTCTGTCTAACCTGCTCTTGAAAACTTCTTGGGATGGGAATCCCATGCCCTCTCTACGTAGCCTGTTTCAAATGCTTGATCAACCTCTAAGTCAGAAAGTTCTTCCTAATTTCTAACCTAAATTTCCTCTGCTGCTGTCTGAGGCCATTGCTCCCAGTCCCCCACAGCCACAGGGAATATCAGACAGCTAACCTTCAGGTGCGCATTACCCTTGGATAAGTTGTCCCAAAAACATTCTGGACTTACAAAATGTGTTCCAGGGATACCCTATACAACAACTCCTCAAGGATGAGGAGCAGGTCAGGAAGAGCGGACCAAGCCATGTGATTCCAATTTGGGTTTGGACACAGTTCAGGGCACCTCAGAGCCAGGTCTCTCCAACATCCTGGGAGATGGGGCATGTCCTGAATGTGGAGCAAGCTCTCTTACACAATGTTATTCTTCACGTGTTCTCCGAATGCCCTAACGGAGAGCTACAGAGGTGTTGCAAGCATGCTATAAATGCAGGCCCTTGGCTGCTGCAAAGTCACTTCCACATACACGCATCACTTCATTCACAGCTCAGTGCATCCCTTTTCTCACAAACATTTCCTGCTTTGCATAAGGATCTCACAAAAGCATCGAGTCAAGCGCTGGACCATCACCATCACTTGAGCTCAGAGCTGCACTCATTTCTGAATAGGAGACTGAACTCCCACACTCAGCTGGCCCCGGCCCCATCCTGCCCAGCTGTGTTACGGCTGCAGCTGATCAGATATGCAGCTGAGGCTTGATTTAAGCCAGGAACACGTGCCTGAGATCCGACCACAGAGACTTTACGCAGATCCCATTCCTGCATCCTTCCAGCCTCCAGGCACTGAGGACCCCTGCGGCCAGACAAGCAACCAAGGTCAGATCTCCCTCAGGAAATGGTTTGCTAATTCAACGCTTGGTGACTACTGCAATTGTATCAGCAAATCCCTCCCACTGATGAAGGTTACACGTGGCAGGGAAACATTTATATCTGTATAATTAATTTAATTTGTTAAAACAGGTAAAGAAAAAAAAAATCAAATTTTATATCTATGCAACTTAAAGCTGCATTAGGGATTTTGCTGGGCTAGAGGTAACACAACGATAAGCCACACCTTTAACTGATATTTCTACACTAGCAAGAGTTTCTACCATACATCTGCCCAAGCCAGTGCTTAGACTAAGCCTGGGAATCTCAGAGGAAGGGCTCCCCTGTGACCCCATGAACCTCCCCTCCTACCAGCCTTGGCAATTTCCATCCAGTGGCTCAGCCCACAATCCTGCAGACTGGAAAGTTCACACTCGACTCCTTCCATCCACTGTCCCTCTGAGGCAGCGCAGAGTAGCAGTGGGGAGCACAGCTAAACTTTAACTCCCGGCTGCAGCCTTTCCACGTGCAGGGAACACTGGGTACTTAGCTGCTACGGCGCGACAAAGGAGGGAAACAGGATTTGACAAGGTAGAAGCATGTGGCCTTTTAAAGGAACAAACGGCGTGACACGGCCTCGCAGAGCAGCGAGTCCAACAATGAGTGGTTAACCTGCGTTCCAGCTGAGCAGGCTCGGTCACAATGAAGGGGTCAGCAAGGTTGGCGCGATTCACGTGTCACCTGCTCCATTAGTGCCACCGTGGGATTCAGGCCCTCTGGGGAAGAACAGCGCTGAGGAATGCTCTGAGAACAGGTGACGTGGCGTGGAAGTCAGCAGCGGGAAGGCTTTGCAGGACCTTCCAAGTTCAGGAGCAGGAATTAGGAGGTGGGGTAAGCCCCAGGAATGAATCAGGGTGGGTACATGGGGTGGGGAACACATCCTGGCGCAGAATTGCAGATGCCCCCCAGAGTTCTCCAGAGCCGCAGCCTTTTGGAGATTAGGCAGCAAAAGCTCATTAAAATCAGATTTTCTTCAAGTGACTAGCACAGGATTGCACAGGCAATGCTGGCAGGACTGGAGGGCAGGGCTCAGGGCACTGTGTGCAAACAGCTTGGGAGGCAGCTGCCACAAGGAAGCAGAACAGGAATGGAGGGGGGCAGGAGGACTCCTCCAGCCCCTTCTGGCACATGTCCGGGCCAGGGCTGCTTAAAGCCATGTTTTCAGAGTCAAACATAGCATGCCAGGCTGCCACACCCTCTAACACAGCAACCAGCTCTGCACAGACTGTCCAGGCCAGCTGCTCCTGTGTGGGACTGCAGGCAGTGTAATGGGTGCAGGGAAGGCTAATTCACTTTGGACAGGCTCGTTAGCACTGCAGTGACAAAGCGCCTTGCCAGAACTGCTACTGGTTGAGAACGCAGCCCCCCCAGAGTGCCACAGCAGTTCAGGGCACTGCTGTCAGGCTGCTACATCAGCATCAGTACACTGCCTCATCCTTGCCCTACAAAACAGACTGAATGGGTCTCCCTGCAGATTCATCCTCTTGCAGGCAGGGCTGAAGGGCTCCAGGTTTATTACCTGACCCCGGGCACTGACACAGGAGAGTCAGTCCCTCAGAGGCTTTGGCTATGGCAGTAGGACACATAGGCCAGGTCAGGACACAGGCCAGAGACCAGTCTAGTCTTTACAATCCCACAGCAGTCTTCGAAGCCTTCTCCCCACAAACCCAGGAGTGAGGCGATGCAGTTCCTCTGGGGCCCCCTCCACTGCTGTTCAAGATCTCAGCTTCCAGCACTGGCATGGGGCATCCTCACCACAGCCCAGCTACTTCATTTCCAGGCCTGGTGCATGTGGAGAGGGACAAGGGGACAGGGTGCATGGGAGACCAGTGCTCCAGAGCTTTCTGCCCAACCCATGGAGGCTGTTGCTAGACACCAAACTCTCATCTTGATGAAATATAATCTCTCTTCAGCTCACACTAAAGAGGATGAATTTCCCAGGGGCGCTGGTACATGAAGCATCTCCATTACAGATCTCCAGCCCCATGTTTTTCAGAGACCACCCCCATCCCATCCTGTGACCCCCTTTCACATGTTCAACCATTCATTCCCTCTCCTAGCTGCCTCCCTCATCCAGAGCATACCTCAATGATGCGGTCTTGGGGGCAAAGTCCTGAGGCTTCAGCTGGGGAGCCTGGGTCCACAGCACGGATGTACTGACCAGGCTTGTTTTTGTCACTGTGGAGGTTGAACCCGTAGCCGTTGGAGCCCTTCTTCATCTGGCACAGACGAGGCCGCAGCTCTTTCTGCAGTGAAGGAGACAGAGTGTGAATATTGTTGCTTGGCATTGCCTAATTCGGCACCTCCTCGCACACCCCAAAGACCAGAGCCACCACCCTAAACATGGGTCTGAGACTGACTCGACACCAGATGGGGCAACAGAACAGCATGCTCCCTTCCCGGCTAGGATGCCAATTAGGTATATAGCACTGGGGCAAGGCAGCTTGTCCATAAAACAGATCCAGCTAGTTAGAGATCAGTCTCACCCCCCACCCTGATGATTAAGCATTTAAAGGGACAAAGTGCAGGATATAGTAACACCTCCATGCTACCCTTCTCCATCCCAGAGGGCTGATGATGCCTGTTTTGATATCCGAGTACTTTTCCCAAATTGCTTTGGAAGCAATTGCCACATGAGGGTGGAGAAGCCGGCACACCCGCCTGGCCTTGAAACCACAGGCAATTGCAGCTGCTGAAGCCAAACAGATTATAGGGTACCAGGGATTTCTTTGGAGGAACTTCCAGTAAATGCAGCACTCTCAGCTGACAGGCCTGGCACCTCCCTGTCGTGAGCAGGCATCACTTCAGCGCTGCCCTTCACGTGGTCAGAGTGAGCAGAGGGCTGGGTCACACAGAGGACTTCACCGTATCCAGGAGCTCCTGCACACACCACACTCGGAGGAGATCTCAGCCTCCCTATTCACATTTGCACCTTCCCTTTGATACAGGCACCACGTCCTTGGTCCAATTCTTACCAGCAGTCAGTTAC